ATAAATCTCAAAAAAAAAAACTGTTCCTGGTAATACTCTGTACCTGCCCCTCTTCCCACTTCAGGACTCATGAATAGCGTTAGACCTATAAAAGAAGTCTGATAATTGGTAGGTAGTGCTCATCTTTATCTAGGTTAAATATGCTTTTGTGGGCTAGCCTAGAAACCCATTAAAACATTATATGTCATTTTTATGATTAGTTAAAATTAAAGAGCATGCCCCCCGAATTAAAAATAAAGCAAAATAAATGTAATTGTATATTTAGTTGGTGGTATAAGCTCTAGAAAAAACTACTCTAGGTAACTTGAATCTGTTACTTGACGGTGAACCCAGAGTGTGGTGTATCTTAAAGAATCCCTCCTGAACCACCCCCTCCAACTCTCAAATCAACTTAACTATTTTTAGTAATCATATTGTTGGCAGTAACATTGGTATTAACATTCTGAGATTTAGGGGTAAATATTGAGGTAGAGAGTATGCTGTTGAGTAAATATGTGATACTCTACTTATTATTCCTAGTACTGAAAACTAGAATTTTTAGTGTAAGAAAAACAAATCAAAGAAATGAAGTAAAAACTCTGTATCCCTGAATATTAGGGGAGATGAGTATCAGTACAAATTCATGATGTATTCTGTTTTAAAACAAGAGTAACAACAAAATGTATTACCCATCTTAGTCTATAAAAGACTTTGAAAACACCATTTCCCAGTTTTTAAAAAAACAAAACAAAACAAGGAGGGCTCCTTGGAGAAAGTGTTGTTTTCCAGTAAGACAGGAAATGTGACGTGGTCCTAGAACATCTTGTCATTTTGCTTTGCAAGGATGTTGCCTAGGGTCATAGCAAATGGACCCAGAAGCCAATTTAAAGAGCCTTTCACTGGCCAAAAGTGGGACATTTTGAGTATGTACAAGAATTATAATTTCAGTGGACTGAAGTCAAACAAGTATGTTTAAATTTATGAGTTGATATACACACACATGCAACTGTTCAGCATTGGAGGATGGTAAGAAACCACCCACTGTGTTGAAAATGAGAGAACCAAGCATATATTGTACCACTGGATAACCAAACAATAGACAAAGGGAAGTTGTTGTCTATCGAGGTATGTTATCTGTTAAGTGAAAGGATACTAAAACTAGAATATCATTTTTCAACTCCTAATTATCAAAAGCTGCTAACACTACAATGAGACAACCAACAGTATATAAAATAGGCATGCCATTAAAAAACAAAATAAACAGGCAACTATATATCAGAAACATTCTGCAAGGGGAGGGGGGAGGGAGAGGGATCAAAACAGGGAAGGGAAGAGCAAAATGGACTATGGTGATGGTGCACAGGTGAACTGGTGGTAAGTATTTTACAGGGACTGCTAAACATACATTGTACAAAAAGGAAGAATGATATAATATAAAAATTGCAAATTGAGGGCAATTCTGCAAAGTAAACTGCAATTTCTTCAACAAATTGCAAGGGAGAAAAAGACAGCAAAGGTGGGGAGCTAATGAGTGAGTGGATTCAAACCAGCAGCAAATTCTCAAGCTCCACCCAATTTAGAATCAGAAATTGGACTGGGCCCAGCAGTTCATGTTTTAACAAGCCTTCTAGGTGACTCGGATGCACTCTTGTTTGAGAATGCACAACAAAAGATAGAAGATATTTACAACCAACTGCAATATGGTTATCTTATTTGGATCATGATTCAGAAAATATATATACTGGTTACCACAGGGAACAGAGGGGAGGGAGGAGAGAAGGAGAGTATAGGGGAAGGGAGGGGGTAGGGCACTGGCATAGGAGTTTTGGTGGAAGGTAAGTGAAACGTGCACATGTGGAGGAATGAAAATGTAACCCCTAAGTTATAAAGACATGTAAACAACTGACAAATTTTAAAAGAAACTATAAAAAGTCTTAACACCTATAGATGATTTATAATATCAAGGAATTATCAATTGGGGGGTGAAAATGGCTTTGAGATTATATAATTTAAAACTCTGAAATATTATAGATAAAAGACATGATGCTTAGGATTTGCTTCAAAAAAATTAGGACTAGAAGCAGGTACAGAGTAGGCACAAGACTGAGTTAATAATTAGTGAAGTTCAATAGTAGGTATCTTGATATCTTTATACTTTTTTAAATTTTTTTATTTTGAGATTTTTCTCCATTCTAAAAGTTTTAAAACTCAAAGCAAGAATTAATTTTAAAAGTTTTAAAACTCAAAGCAAGATCCTAACTCATGCAGAATTAATTCGTAAAAGAATGAAAAAGTATGATACTTTTTACTTGTATTGAAAGGCAGTACTTAACACTCATTCTTTGAAAAACCCCTCCTATATACTAGCATATGGCAAAATTGCTTTGATTTTGATGGAAGGGAATTCTGGCCACTCATCAACCTACTGATGCCACTTTAAATCCCTGACCCTGAAGAGGGTGACTTACATGGGAAAAGAGGGACACAACGCTGTCAGGAGATAGGAGAACCCATACGTTTGCTTTTCAATTTCAAATTGCCTTAGACTTTGGAATGCTTTCTGTTCCTAAATTCAGGTGTACCTGCATTTTCACAGCGTTGACTAGCATATTGTAAGTACAATCTGAGTAGCCCAGTGCAGATATTAATAACTTAATAACTAAAAACACCAATTCCAAGTAAAAAGATATTTTTTAAAATTCAGAGGGACAATCTATCTTCTCCATAGACAAAGTAACCAAATCTTGTGTTTGAAGAGATGCTCATAGACTCCTCTGGCTTGCAATTTCATCTCCGGTGACTCAGTCATGATCTAGATCTATGTCATCCTAATGACTAGTCTAAACAGTTTTCTGGGCAAGTAATTTAAAAAAAAAATAATTGCAAGGTTGCAGTTGCCCTTAGTCTTCTGTAAATTTTAATTTGATAGAGTTACTTCATCTGTAATATACCCATTAAGAATAGAGTAACTAGGGCCTCCCCTGGTGGCGCAGGCGGTGGAGCACAGCGCTGTGAAGCTGTCTGCAGCCTCTGCAGCACCGGCTCGATCCCAGCCAGCGGGCGAGGGTCCCACATGGTGCAGCGGACCTCTCCTGCCACCCGCTGCTCCCCTCAGCAGTGTATTTTGTCAGTCTGCCTGTTCTGTTCCCCACTCTGTCTCTGGTGAATCCTCTCACCCTCCCATGCATCTGGCCTGTACCCCGGTTCTTGTATAAATAAATAAATAAATCTTAAAAAAAAAAAAGAATAGAGTAACTAACTCTTTAGATGTTCTCTTTCCCCTTCCTTCTCTCTTATTCACCCACTTTTACTGAAATAAATTTCATAGGTGTGAACCTATTCCCTAAATCATATACAGTTGTTAACCAGGCACCTCAATAAAGAAAAAAAGAAATACAAATTATGAAAACCTCATCCATAGGAAATGTCATCCATAGGAAATTTGAGTAGAAAGCACTAGCTGCAAAGCCCACAGGGGTGGGTGGTAAAGTATATTCTCATTTTACAAAGGTGATGTCAGAACTCTGAGTATGATTCTTTCTTTTTTTATGCTTTGAGATATTCTATAATTTTGGTCATCTTTGTTATCATAATCATTTTCTTCATTATAACTTTTAATTATAATTCTGCCAGGAAAAGTTAATGACATGGAGAAAAGACCATTAGCGGTCATTACTATGCATTATCAGGCATCCCATCCGACAAAAGTAACCTTGAAGCAGATTCCTGTTCCTTTTCATCTGCTTTTATTGACCTCCTGCTCAGTCCCCCCCATTCATGTAACTTGAGGAAACAAGATCAAACAAGAGGGACTCCCCGGTGGCACAGGCGGTTGAGCGCAGCGCAGTGTTAAGCTGTCCGCAGCCTTTGCAGGGCGGGTTCGATTCCCAGCCGGCCAGGGAGATTCCCACATGGCGCGGCAGACCTCTCCTGTCTCGCCCACTGCTCCCCTCACAGTGTATTTCAGTCAGTCTGCCTGCTCTGTTCCCTGCTCTGTCTCTGGTGAATCCTCTCACCCTCCCGTGCCTCTGGTCTGTACCACAGCTAATATATAAATTTAAAAAAAAAAAAAAGATCAAACAAGATATGACATAGTCCCAACTTTAGAGCTCACATACTTTTTTTTTTTTAAAGATTTATTTATTTATTTATACAAGCACTGGGTACAGTCAGAAGTGCGGGAGGGTGAGAGAATTCACCAGAGCCACAGCAGGGAACAGAACAGGCAGACCAACGAAACAAACTGCTGAGGGGAGCAGCAAGCGCAGCAGAAGAGGTCTGTGCGCCATGTGGGACCCTCACCGGTGGCCAGGGATGGAACCCGTTCTGCAGAGGCTGCGGGCAGTTTCGCAGCCCAGCGCTCAACCGCTGCGCCACCAGGGGAGGCCCGAGCTCACATACTTTGGTAAAGGAGACACAGGAAGGTGATGGAAAAAGAACTGTCATACACCTATGGGAAGGCTATAACATAATCTAACATAGACTATAACATAGCCTAAACTCTGGGTTTAGACTGTTTGAATTCAACCTGACTCTTGCTCTCCAGCTAAGTGATCTTGAGCAAGTTACTTAACCTCTCTTGCCCCAGTTTCTTCACCTATTAAATGGGGTTTAGAACTGTAATTGTGTAATGGGATTGTCCTGAGATAAGCCTTAAACTACATAATCCATAACACATTTAAAAGTTATCCATATTTTGGGCCTCCCCGGTGGCGCAGCGGTTGAGCGCTGGGTTGCGAAGCTGCCCGCAGCCTCTGCGGCGCCGGCTCGATCCCCTGCTGCTCCCCGGCCACCGGAGGAGGGTCCCACATGGCGCACAGACCTCTCCTGCAGCGCCCGCTGCTCCCCTCAGCAGTGTACTTCGGTCCTTCTGCCTGCTCTGCTCCCTGCTCTGGCTCTGGTGAATTCTCTCACCCTCCCACGCTTCTGACTGTACCCAGTGTATGTATAAACAAAACAAACAAACAAATAAATAAATAAAACATGCCTCTATTAAAAAAATTTAAAAAAAAAAAAAAAGTTATCCATATTTTATCAATTACTATGTTTACCATTATTTCCTGTATCTCACACTTTCCCCTTGGGTGGGTAAACTACTTTGTCACTGGATATATCCTTTAATAATAATCATTTATCTTGGATTTTGTAGTTCTGAAAATGCTGCCCCACCCCACGCCCACATCTTATGGTTCAGCTGTGTATAAAATTCTAGGTGATACTTTCTTCAGGTTTGAAGATATTACCCCCACTGTCTTCTAGAGTTCATGTCATGGGGAAGTTTGCTGTCAGTTTAATGATTGTTACTTCACAAACAGAGAATCTGCTCTGACTGGTGTAATACATGCGCCTAAGGAAACTACTGATAAATGTGTGTACTTATTGCTAGAGTTATCACTCATACAGGATTTTCAATTCCACGAGTTAAGGGAAAGATCGTTGTGCAAGCATCTTTTCATCCTTTACAAGAGCATGGCAAAAACCGAAGACCAGTGTGGCTAAGAGGAAGCTCTACAAGATTAACCTCGCCTGGCTCGCCTCCATGGGAAGACCTTTGCAAAAATCCCATAGTTTGTACTAGGGTGTAAAAGGAACTGCTAAGAACCCTCATTTTTATACTCCCATGAGTTACTATTTTCCTTTCCACTCACACGTTCCAATTCCTCTAACAGGACAACTCCATATTGTGCACAGGAGGTGGTATGATAAAATAATACATTAAAAACTGTTATTTCAATCCTTTATTTTATTTTAACACTGCTGATGTTTACCACCTTTATGTTCAGATTACTAAAAGCATGTTTTAGATAGAAATATGGCAAACAAAAAGGATCTCTCCTTGTAGATGAAATTGCTAAAATTTTGGCCGCTATTGAGCTCAGGTCGTATACTTGGCTTAAAATGCACATTTAAATAGTTCCAATTAAGAGTTACATGAACTAAACTTTTCTTTCTGATCTCTAAATGCTCATGAATAGCCACACCCATGGTACATGGCACATAGTACAACCTAGAGTCAGTCTCACAGAAAATACTGGTGTAAGCAAAACAAGAAAGATGCTATTTGCTTCTCATTATATAAACATCACTTGAATTTATCTAACCAACACTTTTATTTTAAATTTGTGACCAAAAGCACTATCACATTTGTTGGGTGCCATTCTCATTTGAATCATATTTAAAAAGTCTAGAAATAACTAAAAAATAAAATGCAGCCTGAGTGCTAAGGCTGCCTATGGCTCTTGCTACAAAATAGTTGCCAGTCTGATATGAATGTCTGAAAAAGTATGACAGGAATTATCGGGTTCTTTTTGATTTCAAGAGAACTTCCCAGAAGGAGGTGGAGGGCCAAGAAATCCACCTGCCTGCTTGGTGGCAGCTCGTGAAGGGGCAAGACCAAGAATCTTCTGGATGTTCTGTGAAGAAAATAGAATAAATGATTTTTAATGAGAGATAGAGAAGAGTATTTTAATAAACCTCATATGAAGAGAAGGCCTGAAAGTACAACTATGACCTAATATAGGAGGAATACCACTATATTATTTTTTAAAAGGCCTACAAAGTTATGGAACCCCTGGAACAAAAAGCATTCTTCCCTGATAGGACCTTAGTGTACTAACCAATGACGCAGATTTTTTTCAAGTGAAGAATCATAAGAGGTAATCTTTTAACAGAAAGCACATAAAGTATATAGGTCCTGGGCCTCCCTGGTGGCGCAAGGGTTTAAGACATAACCTACGAAGCTCTCTGCAGCCACTGCAGCGCGGGTTCAATCCCTGGTCAGCCAGGGAGCAACCCACATGGCGCAGCAGACCTCTCCTGACCTCTCCCGCTGCTCCCCTCAGCAGTGTACTTCGGTCGATTTGCCTGTTCTGTTCCCCACTCTGTCACTGGTGGGTCCTCTCACCCCCCGCACCTCTGGCCTACTCCCCAGCATAAATAAATAAATCTTTTAAAAAAAATAAAGTATGTAGGTCCTACTTAGCCACCTCATTATCTTCCTCATTCAGTAGGATGTGGTTCCCTACCCGCAGATTCAGCCAAGTGCAGGTGGAAAATTCGTACTAGGTAATTATTAGTCTTAAAATGTTTATGTCTGTACTGAACATGTACAGACTTTTTCTTATCAATATTTCCCAATCAACAATACAGCATAACAACTATTTACATGGCGTTTATACTGTATTAGGGAATAGAAGTAATCCAGGGATGATTTAAAGTATAAGGGAGGATGTGCACAGGTCACAAACACCATGCATTGTATGTAAGGCACCTGAACATCCATACACTGCAGTATTGGCAGGGGTCATGGAACTAATCCCTCTTGGATACCGTGGGACAACTGTACATTCCTCAGCTTTTTCTTATAGCAAGGTCTTTTTTGGAGTATGGATATTCTGGTTGGATTTCGTTATTACTGCATGATTTGAAGCTGAAACTGAAACATTCCATTTCAATTGTTTTGAACGGGTAAGAGAGTTTACTCTTGCAAAGCAATCTGAGTCCAGAATCCTCCTAGATTTTTCACACCTTCCCTCATCTTTTTCAGTTGTCACACTTGTAGCTAATTCCAAAGTTTTTAAAGAAATTCACACATATTAAACTAGTTTTCATAAAAAAAAAACTTTTTATCTTCCATTTCATCAGTTAATATAACAAACTTAAATTATAAAATATAACAAAACCAGCATATGAAACAATTCACAGCTCTGCAGCACAAGTTTGATCCCCAGCTCACCAGGGAGCAATCCACATGGCACAGCAGACCTCTTCTGTCTCGCCCGCTGCTCCCCTCAGCAGTATATTTCAGTCAGTCTGCCTGTTCTGTTCCCCACTCTGTCTCTGGCGAATCCTCTCACCCTCCCCCCCCCACATCTCTGGCCTGTACCATGGCTTTTGTATGTATAAATAAATCTTTAAAAAAATTTTAAATTAAAAAAAATTAATTAAAATATCCTACAGATAATGAATTTCCCACTATGTAGCAGGTATTTTTGTATATGTTATACCCTTTATATCTTTCAACAAAATCATCCATTAAAGTTGACTTCTTCCCTATATATATATTTTTTTTTTGGTGGGATCCTCGCCGGCGGCCGGGGAATGAACCGGCGCTGCAGAGGCTGCGGGCAGCCTTGCAGACCAGTGCTCAACTGCTGCGCCACCAGGGGAGGCCCTTCCCTATATTCTTTTTTTTTTTTTTAAAGATTTATTTATTTATTTATTTATACAAGCACTGGGTACAGTCAGAAGCGCGGGAGGGTGAGAGGATTCACCAGAGCCAGAGCGGGGAGCAGAGCAGGCAGAAGGACCGAAATACACTGCTGAGGGGAGCAGCGGGCGGCAGGAGAGGTCTGCGCGCCATGTGGGACCCTCCTCCAGTGGCCGGGGAGCAATTGGGGATCGAACAAGCGCTGCAGAGGCTGCGGGCAGCTTCGCAACCCAGCGCTCAACTGCTGCGCCACCAGGGAGGCCCTCCCTATATTCTCTTAATTCTCCTCCTTGAGGTCAATTTTCTTTTGACCTCAAATTTCTGAGGTCAGATCTTCTTTTTTTTAAACAAGATTTATTTATTTATACAAGAACTGGGGTACAGGCCAGAGGCGAGGGAGGGTGAGAGGATTCAACAGAGACAGAGCGGGGAGCAGAACAGGCAGAATGACTGAAATACACTGCTGAGGGGAGGAGTGGGCGAGACAGGAGAGGTCTGCCTCGCCATGTAGGTTGCTCCACGACAGGCGGGGATTGAATCCACGCTGCAGTGGCTGTAGACAGCTTCGCAGTGCTGCACTCAACTGCCTGCGCCACCAGGGAGGCCCCTTTCCGATAGATCTTCTTAATTAGCAAGATTTTATTTAGAAATATCCATTTTGCTAAAACATAGGCACTGTAATATATAATGAAGATAATACTGAATATAACAGAAATGCAATGTAGAATATGTGGTAAGGATTGTGACAAAAATAATTACTTTGAATTTTTGTCCAGTCCTGTGTAATTGGATAGCCACTGAAGAGTACATGCCTTAAAGGAAAAAACAAAGGAAAGACATTTTCCCGTAATCATGCCTTCTGTTGGAAAAAAAAAAAAAAAAAAACAGAAAAATACCACCACAGGATTTGCGTTCCTTCCTCTTCGCAAAGGATAAGAAAGAACCGGTGATCAAGACAAGGAAGTTGTTGGTTGCTAACTGGATATTTTGGGAAGACCCAGGTCACAGGCAATAAACACATTCTGCTAAATTTTATTCCTTAGTCATTGGGCTAAAATAACTCCACCAAGGCAATCTTCAGTTCCCTCCTGGCAACCAGACTTAGCTTCCAACTGATGACAATTTCTCATCAAGTTCCCATAATACAATCTTTACTACATTCATAAAGCTGGTATTAAATCCAATCCCTCAAATATACCATGTAATAGTCCCAAGATTTTCACATTATATCTGCAAAGGCTTTTTGGGAGAATGGCATAGAGATGAAATATTTACTGGGAAAAAATACAATACTGGTATATCTTAAATATTTTGAGTTAGCAGTCAGAAGACTCCAGAAAACAAAAAGCAATTTCTCTTCATTTAACCAAATCTCAATTTCCTACACTCAAAAGGAGATGACTAGATCAACCATTTTTAGAAACTATAAGCCACATTCCTTTCTTTAAACAAAATCCCATGTAAAAAACCAGTAGAGAAAAAGATAAAAAAGGGTCATGAACATGAAGTCTCCTGCTGACTATCTGCACCTTCAAGGAGCCACAGTCTCCTGTGGCTGTGGCTCTAACATTCTAGAAAATGTCTATATTGTAAATTATATTGCAGACTTCAACACATATTTTACAAAGAGTAAACTGAAATTCCAAAAGAAATATTCATTTTCAGTGAGTATTTTCTGTCCTAGTTGTCCAAGGGCTTCCTGTGTAATAAAGGTCTTTTAGGGAAAGTCAGGGATCAATCTCTTTGTCTCTCTCCCTCTTAACCATTTTTCAAATGAAAATTTCCCTACATCTCTTGTTTAGTCAATTATTTGAGGATTAGTCAAGAATATTAGAATGCAAATGAGATTTTTTAAATCTCATAATGGATGGCAGACCCCAGATGAGCACCATGTGGTGTGTCAAACTCAGAATGTGTAGCCTTTGCTGGTTTGAGAATAAAAGGACAGGGTTAGGGCAAAAATTGCTTATAATTGAGGTAAAACATACTGGAAAATAAGAGTTGACAGAGGAGAGCTTAAAACTCTATATCCAAAGTCTGCCCACATCTCTGGCTGACTCAAACTATACATTTATGAAACAGCCTTCAAGAAGCCCAGTTAGGACTAAAATAACTGAAATATCTGGTGCTACCTACCACAGAGGAGAAGAGTTTGGAGAATGAGCACCAAGTTCATTGCCTACTTAAGCAAAAAGAAAATCAATACTATTTCAAAGAATAATGGAATCCAGAGTCTATACAACCCATCATTCACAATGTCCAAGATACAATCTAAAATTACTAAACATATACCAGTAACAGGGTAACAAGACCCACACTTAAGAGAAAAGGTTAACAGATAAAGCTTAACCTTGAGACAATCCTGATGTTGGAATCAGAAGACAAACTTTTTTAAAGCAGCTAAAAAACTATGCTTAATGACATTTTTTAAAAAGCATTCATAAGCTATGAACAAGTAGGAAATCTCAGCAGGGATAAAGGAAGAAAGAAAAAGAGGATAGGAAGAAAAGGAGGAAGGGAGAGGAAGGAAAAGAATAACCAAATGAAATTCTGGAATGAAAAAAACACTGCATCAAAAATTTTAAAACATTGAATGTATTTAGAGTCAACTCAGATTAGAGATGCCAGAGGAGTAAAAGAACTTGAAGAGAGAGTAATAGAAATTACCCTATCTCCAGAAGAGATATACCCTTAAAACATATGCAGTGTTATAAACCAACATTACCAGAATTTTAGGAAGAGAGAAAGAATAGGGCAAAAAAAGATCACTAGAGAAATAATAGCTGATATTGTCCTAGATTTAGTGAAAACCAGCAAGTCTAGTAGAATAAAATGTTTTAAAATAACCTAGGTACATCACAGTCAAATTGCTCAAAGCCAAACTTAAAAAGAAAATCTGAGCACAGCTAGAGAAAAGGAACATGTTATCCAGAAATACAAAATATGAAGGCCTTCTCATCAGAAACAATAGAGGCGAGAAGACAGCAGAGAAGCACTTTAAAATGCTGAAAGAATTAAAACAAATGCAGAGTCAACCCATAATTTTATGTACAGTGAAAATATCCTTCAAGAATAAAGATTTTAAAAAAGATCTTTTTAGATAAATAAACATTAAGAGAATTTGTTACCAGATTTGCAGTATAAGAAATACACACACAAAGAAAGAAATCAGTGTTGTACTGAAATGTACAACACTGTTATATCCTGCTACCAACTCTGGGTCCAACAGTCCCTGTATTCACTGCACACTTTCAAGCCTCCACACATCTACTCATCCTGTTTCCCATGCTAACTACACTCCAGTGAGACTGGAAAACCCTTATCATTCTTTAAGATGCAGTGCAAATGGCCCTTTTATATAAAACCCTAGTTTCATAATAGGAACTCCTGGTTATTTATTTTCTCTCCTATATCATGTTACCCCCTCCACACACACACACACAAATGGCATGAATCACATTCTACTATTACTTATGGATTTATCTTCCCATGTAGATGCCACAGGGCAGAGATCATCGCTTTTTACTTTTGTATTCTCAACATCAGAGAGAATCTGACATAGTATAAAGACGTGAATCAATCTTCAGCAATGACAGGAGATATTCTAAATAAAGCACTTAACTCATGCACTGAAATAATTCACAGAGAGATCAGATTAAGACAATGCCTCAGTAATTTATTTTTCTCAACTAGTATTTAGCTATCATTTTCTGAACCATATACATTCTCTCACTGAATACATCAGATGAAAATACCCTGTAGATAAGCTATATTGACACTAATGAGTTAAATTCTATCTATACCTTAAGTGACATAAATGAATAGCGAGGTACAGGGGAGGGCAGATATCTGATCCTATCATTTTCATGACTTTAAAATATACTGACATCACAAATAAAAACAAATATACAAGGTTTATCAAAATTCTTTCCCCTAAAAGTCAAAAGTGTGAGAAAAAATAAGATTTACTTATTCTTACCACTGTTCTGATAATATGTAGCTATTGAAGAAGACAATGACAAATCCTCAGTGATACTTTTTTTAGATTATAGTCAAGCATAAAATTATATATTAAAATATGAATGGCAAAAGGAAAAAACAGATAAATGTTTTCTTCTACTTTTCCTCAAAACTACTTTTTGCTTTCAAGAAAGGGAATTCTGGGGTCTCCCTGGTGGCGCAAGGGGTTAAGCATCAGCACTATAAAGCTATCTGCAGCTACTTCAGCACAAGTTTGATCCCTGGCCAGGGAGGTGACCCACATGGTGCAGTACCCCTCTCTTATCTCGCCTACTGCTCCCCTCAGCAGTGTATTTCAGTCAGTCCGCCTGTTCTGCTCCCCACTCTGTCTCTGGTGAAACCTCTCAACCCCTGAACCTCTGGACTACACCCCAGCTCTTGTACACATAAATAAATAAATCTAAAAAAAAAAAAGGGAATTCTTTTCACAGTTTTTACCATCATATAAATTTATAAGCATAGATCGGTCTTTCCTTAGCTACCTACCAGGTCAATTTAAGTGGCTTTTGACTGAGATTTAGTGTACTATATCTAGAGGCTATCACCAACTTATTCAATCTACTACTGACTCATAAGAAGAAAAAAAAGTTAAGAAAACTTCCTTTTATTATTGAATTCTGTCACTACCCCAGACTAACTTAACACCTCTGATGGAAGCTATCATTTCCGTTGCCACAAATTCACACAAAGGAAATAGTTGTGATGTGAAGGTCAAGATAGCTCATCATTAATCACTAAACAATGAGGAAATAAACAAAGGGAGACAGATAAAATAAGAAAAGATAATTAGATTTATTTTCAATTGCTATGACCTGTTACCATATTTCAATATGTGAAATGAAACTGCCCTATCTTAGGCTGATTAACTGATTAAAGGATTAACTGATTTTAAAAAAATGTCATCTTAAGAAAATCTGCAAGCACTGTTTTTTTCTGTTTTTTTGCTGCTCCTTTACCACTGTTTTCTGTATTCAATAAGCAATTATTTCATTAAGCTGTACCAGTCTAGGAGCTGTAGATGTTCCTATTTTAACTTAATATCACAAACTGTACGCTTTGGCTCTCAGGCCTCAGTATACAAGCGCTGATATGCTGTCTGTTTCTGTTATTTGAATTTTTTAAAAGATGTATTTATTTATGCATACAAGAACTAGGGTGTAGGCAAGATATGGGGTGGGGGGTGAGAGGATTCACCAGAGACAGAGTAGGGAGCAGAACAGGTGGATTTATTGAAATACACTGCTGAGGGGAGCAGCAGGTGAAACAGGAGAGATCTTCTGCATCTGTCAGCTCCCTGGCTGGGGATCAAACCCATGCTGCAGTAGCTGGGGACTGCCTCATAGTGCTGAGGCACTACTCCGCTGCGCCACCAGGGAGGCCCTGTCATACACATTCTTTGCTAACTATTATAATTGTCTTTTGATATTTCTGCATCTCATCATGACCCTCTTACATCTATGCTTCAGGATGTATTAAGTGTCACAAAATGATTTCGGGAAGCCTTAACTATATAAAGTTGTATTCAATGTGTGAAAGGAGGAGATGGGAGCATCCAGATATAAAGAAGAACACAACAAAAAGTAAATCTAGGTGAGTAAAACATGAAAACTGCCCGGCAAGTCAGAATGACTGGAGATTTGTATTTGTGGGGATGAGACAGAAAAGGCGGAGAAAGCAGTAAAAAGATCCTGAAGATATTTGTGAGTTTCAAACTAAAATTCTATTTCCTACTGATTTGTACATGCAAAGACAGAATTCAGAAGACGACAGACAAGTGAGAAAGCATTACTTGTCACAACCAGCCAGCCTCTCCACCACAATGCCTGCTGATTGGCAGTGTATCCAAAAACTGCAGTGCCTTGATATATAAGGAGTTCTTGAATGAGAAACGTTAATTAACCCCCCCCAGCACCTTTTTAAGTCCCATCTCAAAAATCACTTCATTCTCTAAACCTTTCTGCTTGAATCTTCCTCCACTAATTGAATATTAGTCTCTCTTCGACTAATTGAATATTAAGTCTCTCTTCGATGTTCTCATCACCCGCCCATCTATACATCTTTCTTAGCTCTTGTCCCTTTCACTATAAATGTCTGATCACTTTGCTGGTCAAATGTAAACTCTATAAACCAAACTATCACAATGGTGAATAACTTAAAATCACCATTTATTACACTTATCTGTGTTCCTAAAGTACGAAAAATTGCTGGAATAATAAGAAAAGATGATGCCGGGCCTCCCTGGTGGCACAACGGGTTGAGCATAGCACTGTGAAGCTATCAGCAGCAGCAGCAGCCTCTACAGCACAAGTTTGATCCCCCATCAGGGAGCTACCCACATGGCATAGCAGACCTCACCTGTCTCACCCGTTGCTCCGCTCAGCAGTATATTTCAGTCAGTCTGCCTATTCTCTTCCCCACTGTCTCTGGTGAATCTTCTCATCCCCCGCACCTCTGGCCTGTACCCCAGTTCTTGTATGCATAAATAAATAAATCTTTAAAAAAAAAAAAAAGAAAAGATGATGCTGGGAACACAAAAACTACTCTTTACTACTATACCATTAGATAGCTGCACCTAAGATTGGGATATGGGAGCCATGCTTGGCTTCATGGCTACCTCCCATCCCTAAGAATCAATAACCTAGACCAATGCACTTTAAAACGGCTTTACTAACTGTAATGCTGGGATTCTAAAACAAGCAAATGGAAGATCTCGTAGCAAGAGGTAGACACTTGCAGTACTACAGAATTAAGAGCTAACATAGAGTAGGAGAGCAAGGAAGGACCTACATACACATTTAAATAGTGAATGTGGGGGCCTCCCCGGTGGCGCAGCGGTTGAGCGCTGGGTTGCGAAGCTGCCCGCAGCCTCTGCAGCACCGGTTCGATCCCCGGCTGCTCCCCAGCCACGGGAGGAGAGGGTCCCACATGGCGCGCAGACCTCTCCTGCTGCCCGCTGCTCCCCTCAGCAGTGTACTTCGGTCCTTCTGCCTGCTCTGCTCCCCGCTCTGGCTCTGGTGAATTCTCTCACCCTCCTGTGCTTCTGACTGTACCCAGTGCTTGTATAAATAAATAAATAAATCTTTTTTAAAAATAAATAAATAAATAAATAGTGAATGTGGTCACTCACCTGTCGAATAGACATGGTACAGAGAATATACAGGAAGATGAAGGAACAGTCTGTGGTGTCATCCCCCAGGAGATTCCGATGCGACAGTCCTTGGATATAGGAAAGGGGGGTGAAAGGGAGCTTTGCCACCACTCTACCATCAAATCTGAAAAGGAAAAAACAAAGAACTGTTATTTTTGGAAGACTGACAAGCTGCTTAGTTCCAGAGAAGAATCTGAGACAGAAATAGAGTCCCTTGATCTCTAAAAAACAAAGAAAGGGTGACCTAAAGTCCAAGGATAGAAGGAAGGGCCTACATTTTTCTGATCAGTCTTTTTCTAAACTAGTCATTTTTAGTTTTTTCAATATAAGGACCCCTTAACATTAAAACACTACTAAGGCCCCTAAAACATTTTTGTTTATATCTATCTATAACAATATTTACTACTGTTTTACAAATTCAAACTGAGAAATGTTAAAATATTTATTAAATCATTTAAAAGGTAGCGATTATATGTCAATAGAAATATTTTTATGTAAAATCTAAAATGAAAAAGATTCAGTTAAAAAAAACACTTTTTGGCAAATAATGTTTTAATAGAAAACTGCTAATTCTCATAGCTACTTAGTATTCAGGTTGTTACAACATTACATATCATGAAATCTCTGAGGTGCATTCACAAGAGAATGAGGGTAAAAAAGGCAAATAACATCTGAAAAATGTTACAAGAAAAATTTTGATTTCCAGGGCTTCCTAAGAGTCTCCCAGACCTCCAGGGATCCTCAGACTACACTTACAGAACCACTGTGCTAAATCACGACATTAATAGACTTTAAGAATCCTCTTTTCCAGCTTCCCCGGTGGTGCAGCGGTTGAGCGCTGGGTTGCGAAGCTGCCCGCAGCCTCTGAAGCGCCGGTTCGATCCCTGGTTGCTCCTCGGCCACCAGAGGAGGGTCCCACATGGCGCGCAGACCTCTCCTGCCGCCCGCTGCTCCCCTCAGCAGTGTACTTCGGTCCTTCTGCCTGCTCTGCTCCCCGCTCTGACCCTGGTGAATTCTCTCACTCTCCCATGCTTCTGACTGTACCCAGAACTTGTATAAATAATTCTTTAAAAAAAAAGAGAGAAAAGCCCTTTAAAAAAAAAAAAAAGTTCCTTATTTCCTTCCCTTGTGTTCTTTAAAAAGAAGAAAAAAAAAAAAAAAAAGAAAAAAGAATCCTCTTTTCCAAAGACTGAAAGGTTCCTAACACACACACTTAAAAGGAGAAACATTTCGGGGCCTCCCCGGTGGCGCAGCGGTTGAGCGCTGGGTTGCGAAGCTGCCCGCGGCCTCTGCGGTGCCGGTTCAATGCCCGGCTGCTCCCCGGCCACCGAAGGAGGGTCCCACATGGCCCGCAGACCTCTCCTGCCGCCCGCTGCTCCCCTCAGCAGTGTACTTTGCTCCTTCTGCCTGCTCTGCTCCCCGCTCTGGCTCTGGTGAATTCTCTCACCCTCCCGCGCTTCTGACTGTACCCAGTGCTTGTATAAACAAAACAAACAAACAAACAAAATAAATAAATAAATAAATAAAAACATGCCTCTATTAAAAAAAAAAAAAAGTTAAAAAAAAAAAAGGAGAAACATTTCTAAAGAGAAATTCATGGAATATCTAGTGGTAAATGAAAAAAAAAAGTAGAGTACTCAATTATAAACATAATATTCTGAGAATTTTTAACATAGTGTTAGTATCTGAGAACAATTCCTTTTATATTTCTACGATAGACAAGGAAATGTTTCTAAAAGAAAAAAGCCAGAAGAAAATATGATCAGGGTTTATGCTGTTGTGCTGGGGATATCAACTTCTATTATATGCTTCTATGAATAAGTTATCTAATCAGACAATAATGGAAACTATAAAAATTAAAGTGATGGGGCCCCCCTGGTAGTGCAGTGGGTTGAGTGCCGCACTGTGAAGCTGTCCGCAGCCTCTGCAGTGCGGGTTCGATCCCGGCCGGCCAGCAAGAATCCCACTGGTGCAGCAGACCTCTCCTGTCTCACCCGCTACTCCCCTCAGCAGCGTATTTCATCAATTTGTCTGTTCTGTTCCCCATTCTCTCTCCAGTGAATCCTCTCACCCTCCCGCTCATCTGGCCTATACCCCAGTTCTTGTATAAAAATAAATAAATCTTAAAAAAAAAAAAAAAAGTGTGAAAAATTATAACCTAACATACTCTATTAAAATCAAATTTCCCAGATTTTGGTAATCTTGATTACTTGAAAAGTGAACTGAGGTTATGTAAGTGAATGTCTCATATGTCTTAAAAAATAAACACTGAAGTTCTGATTGGTAAAGGGGCATGAAGCCTATAATGTACACTCAAGTGATTAAGAAAATACAAAATAATGTATGTATGAGTACGTGCATATAAGTGTGTGGGTGTATACATGATACAAAGAATGAGGGGAAAAAGCAAATAGGGCAAATTGTTAACTGTTAATCTGGATAGTGCATATACTATTCTTGCCATTTTTCTGTAATTTTGAAACATTTAAAATATTACCAAAAAGTTAATTGCTCACATGTAACGTTCACTTGCAGCAAAAGTTAGATAAAGCCATATAAAAAGACACTCACATGGAATTGAACATTCCCATTAAAGCAGTAAAACAGAAGCCAATGGCAAACATGGATTTCATTCGAACCTGTAAGGAGACCAGAGAACTGTCAGCTCACACTAAAGAAAAACCACTAACAGCACACCCACATTTGGATTTTAAGTAATTTTTTTATATGCACTCCTTAGTAAAAAAGTTATTTGATTAACCCATCCTCTACCTCTTTACCTTGACACCTTCCGATAAATAGTATGGGCTGGCCATGTGACTAAGTTTTAGTTAATGAATTATAAGTACAAGTACTGATAGGCCCTTTAAAAAGGGACAAACACAGCCAACATCCCTTGGACCTTTGGCCCACTATTCTTGCCTAGAATTAAGAATATAACACCTGAAGATAAGCAGTTATCAAACGACCAACAACCTTAAACTAGATATGGCAGAAGCTGAGATCTTGATGACATTATTGAGCTGCTTCACCACCTGGACTGCCAACTCTAGACTTCTTGAGCAAGGAAAAGAAAAACCATTTATCTGTTTAAACTATTGTCACTTATTCTAGTTCAAACTTCCTTAATGATATATGCCATAAAAGTATAAATAAAGAGAAGACTGCTAAGACTGGTTATTGGGCAATTTTTATCTCTTCTTTCTGTAATTTCCAAATTTACTACTGTGAACGTGTAATAACAATTCACAGAAGAGAAAAGCTATTTTTAAAAAAAAAGGACTTCTAAACATAATCTTTCTTTTTTTAAAGATTTATTTATGTATCCAAGAACTGGGGTATAGGCCAGAGGTATTGAGGGGGGCAGTGAGAGGATTCACCAGAGACAGAGCGGGGAGCAGAACAGGCAGATTGACTGAAATACACTCTGAGGGGCACAGCAGGTGAGAAAAGAGAGGTCTGCTGTGCCATGTGGGTAGCTCCCTGGCGAGGGATCGAACTTGTGCTACAGTGGCTGCCGATAACTTCATTGTGCTGAGACTTAACTCCCCGCACCACCAGGAAGGCCCCCTAAATATAATCTTTCATAATAAGAATTTCAAGAAACAGAAGATAGAGAAATATGACAAAGGTCTCTTGGTAAGCACAAGACTACTGTTGCAGAGCTCAGATGCTCTGTTAAACATACAGAAATTAAGTAGAAAAATCAGTCAAATCATATCATTAGCTTATCTATACTTTAGAAAAATATGCTTAAACAAACTTCTCTTTATAAATAAGAAATGAGTAATGAAATCACTTTTCTTTCCACTATATGGTATGCCTAACACTCAGAACAAAAGACAACAATAGAGCCTATCTATAATGCCTCATCCAGGTTACCATAAAATCAAAGATTCAGGAAGAAAAAGAAAATAAGTAATTTCATTTGAAAATTTAAGGGGTACACATTGTGAAGTCTGTGAAAGGGACAAGCTATAATCTTCAAGACAGTCTCACAAAGCTATTCATGAGGCACCATGTCTGGCCACAAAGGTGGCAAGAAGACCCTGAAGCAGCCCAAGAAGCAGGCCAAGGAGATGGACAAGAAAGGTAAGGCATTCAAGCAGAAACAGGAAGGGGAGAAGGGAAGGGAAGGCCCCAAGACCACAGGTGGAATTAAGGAATCTGGCAAAAACTAAGCTGTTGCTTGTGCCTGAGGCAATGGTGTTCCTCATTACACTCCTATTTAAACATTTGGATTCCCTCACATATCTGTTGCCACCAATTGCTAGAATAGGGTGTCTTGGAGTCTGTTGTACATTTAAGAATAAACTCTTGTTTAAAAAAAAAAATCAGGACCTCCCTGGTGGTGCAAGGGGTTGAGTGCAGCACTGTGAAGCTGTCTGCAGCCTCTGCAGCGTGAGTTCGATCCCCAGCCAGGGATACACCCACGTGGCACAGCAGACCTCTCCTGACTCGCCCGCTGCTCCCCTCAGCAGTGTACTTTGGTCTATCTGCCTGTTCTGTTTCCCGCTCTGTCTCTGGTGAATCCTCTCACCTCCCACATGTCTGGCCAGCACCCCACTTCTTGTAACCATAAATAATCTTTAAAAAAAAATCATACACAGGCTTGTGTTCTCTTCAGTTCTTCTCACCCAGCTGTTTTTACGTTAGCTGTGAAGTCAGAGTAAACCCAGTGGAGAATTCTGCCAAAGGGTGCTTGTCTTCAGTCTTTGTTCTATCCTGAATTCTGTGCTACTAGAATAAAGCCAACTCACTTGAAATGGAAAAGAAAAACAAGCTATTCATATTACTGAAGGGACAGTTCAGCCCAGTAGCCTATTTTTTACTTCCATATGGTCCAGAAATATCCACAATATTATTTATAGCCTGCATAGACTATAACTTTCTAAAAAGGAAAGTACAGTGCACTTAATATAAATCAGGGTCTTTGGCTAAAAAAATTTATGTGATTTACCATGAATTTATAGTTAGGACTCTTACCATTGACAAATCTCTGTTGTTATTCTTCAGTTTCTCTTCTTGTCTCTCTGAGAAGAATTAATTAAATGGTTAATTACACACAGTACAGAGCATTAAGTAGATATTAAACTATCACAGCTTGGGTATTATAAATACTTCTGCCTTAATATCACTTAAAAAGATGAGCAGAACACCTAAAATATTGTATACTTTGTACTAACACAAAATTAAAATGCAGCAGAGCATGAAATTATTTCCAGTCAAATAAATAAAAATATTTAAAGTTTAATTTTTAAAAATCACCTCTTTTTTTTTTTTTTTTAAAGATTTATTTATTTATTTATACAGGCACTGGGTACAGTCAGAAGCGCGGGCCAGTGAGAGAATTCACCAGAGCCAGAGGGGGGAGCAGAGCAGGCAGAAGGACCGAAGTACACTGCTGAGGGGAGCAGCGGGCGGCAGGAGAGGTCTGCGCGACATGTGGGACCCTCCTCCGGTGGCCGGGGAGCAGCCGGGGATCGAACCGGCGCTGCAGAGGCTGCGGGCAGCTTTGCAACCCAGCGCTCAACTGCTGCGCCACCGGGGAGTCCCTAAAAATCACCTCTTGTGTTAAGTGTTTTAACACAGTACATTAAGATATTCTCCTATTATATCAGCAGTAATTACCAAATTAGTTGATTCATAAGTGTAAAATAATAATTGTATTTCGGCTTCAAATATTAATTACCCATCTGGCATATTTAACCCATCTTTGTTTCTTTAAGAGAATACATAAATTTTAGGGCCTCCCCGGTGGCGCAGCGGTTAAGCGCTGGGTTGCGACGCTGCCCTTGGCCTCTACGGCGCAGGTTCGATCCCCGCTGCTCCCTGGCCACCGGAGGAGAGTCCCACATGGCGCGCAGACCTCTCCTGCCGCCCGCTGCTCCCCTCAGCAGTGTATTTCGGTCCTTCTGCCTGCTCTGCTCCCCGCTCTGGCTCTGGTGAATTCTCTCACCCTCCCGTGCTTCTGACTGTACCCAGTGCATGTATAAACAAAAAACAAACAAACAAATAAATAAATAAAATATGCCGCTATTAAAAAAAAAAAAGAATACATAAATTTTAAAAGCCAATTAATACAAATTTGAAATTTAGGTTACTTGATATCATAGTCAAGTCTAAAAATAACCAGTTATGTCACTTAGCTAGGAAATGACACATATATTTCATTTATCATATGCACAGAACCCAAACTGTATTCCATCAACATAAGGGACATCATTCCTGTACCTACAAAGAAACAGACCCAACAATGGGGCACTGACTTGTCAGAGATCACAAAATTGTTTTATGGCCACGCCAGGACAAGTTTGAGCTTCCTGACTCCCAGACCAACGGTCTCTGTACACATTATGCAACCACCTACTTTGATCATGTATTTTTATTACCAGGATTAATTTATTCAACAAACATTTATGTCTGCCTACTATGTGCCAGGTACTTTTTTGAGCTAAATGGATTAAATGAATGAACATAACACATAAAAATCCTCTCACAGGCAGATTATAAAATAAAAATATAAAACCCTCTAAAACAAAAAAACATGCCATTGCAATATTTTTAACTGGTGTTAAGGACTGGTAAATTCAGGCAAGAAAAGGAAAGGAACATGAACAGGCCTACAGGAAGACTTTCAGATTGGACTATAGTTTCTAAACCATTCATCATGCAATGAAGATTTGATCCTATACCCTTAACTGCTGCAGTCTGTACTCCTTGGGAGGAAAAGGACGCAGGCAGGAGAGAGTAGAGGTGTTGAAGACATATAGTAGGAAATGAACAAGAACGAACAGAGTTAAGGTCTATCTTCCATCTTACAATGTAGCAAAAAAATTTTTTTTAATTGTGGAGGCTGAAAACTGGGGTCAGAGCTGATGAGGTGAATTTGCATGAAGCAAGTTAAAGAGGAATTGGATTACCAATGAAGGAGAAGGCTTGGGGTGGAGATCTAAAAAGAAAGGTACAGAAAATATGTTTGTCAGAAACTTTGGTGGATCCTTGACACCCTACTACTCTCAACCAACACCAAGTCCTGGTAATATTCCTTTTAGATATTTAGTTCTCTTAGATATTTATGAATCCAACCTCTCTCCTCCTTACTACCTCCTCCTTAGTTAGGATTTCTAACACCTCTTACCTATATTATTTGAAAACTCCTAACCAATCTCACTGCCTCCAAATATGTTAACTCAAACCTACCTTCCACAAAGCAGCCTGTCAGATTTACTTAAAAGGCAAAATTATGGTACTCTCCCGCTTAAAAATCCTTCTATGGCTTTTAAAAATGTTCTCCCATAGAATTTTGTCCTGGGATAAAAGCAGTGATGTAGTTATAGAGACAAAGCTTCTAAACCAAAGACAATTTCACAACAATTTTTTCCTGATTTCAGAATCAGAAAGCATAATAAAATATAAATACGAATCATATCTAATAATTTACAAATTGTCTTTTTGGAATAGAATCACATTCTGTAATTCAATTCTAAATTACACTGACAAAACAAAAACTGTCATTATTTTTAAGCTGTCATTATTTTTTAAAACTAGGTAACAATGACTTAAAAAATTTCCGGGCCTCCCCGGTGGCGCAGCGGTTGAGCGCTGGGTTGCGAAGCTGCCCGCGGCCTCCGCGGCGCCGGTTCGATCCCCGGCTGCTCCCCGGCCACCGGAGGAGGGTCCCACATGGCACGCAGACCTCTCCTGCCGCAGACCTCTCCTGCCGCCCGCTGCTCCCCTCAGCAGTGTACTTCGGTCCTTCTGCCTGCTCTGCTCCCCGCTCTGGCTCTGGTGAATTCTCTCACCCTCCCGTGCTTCTGACTGTACCCAGTGCATGTATAAACAAAACAAACAAACAAACAAATAAATAAATAAAACATGCCTCTATTAAAAAAAAAAAAAAATGTCCTACCACTTAGTGGATTACCATTACAAGTCAACCTTGTAAGGAAGCTATGGCAACAATGTATACAAATAACGCAGACTTAATTAGAAATAAATCTCAGATATGAAAAACGAAAGGCTTTACAAACTAAAGCAATCCTCAGTCAAGTTGAAAAGTGGTGAAGGTCAACATTACACTAAAACTAAAATTTCAAAGCTAAGAACAAAAAGGAGCACCTGCTTAAACTTGTCCTAAAAATAGTTGAATCAGGGCCTCCCTGTTCGCGCAAGGGTTTAAAATGCAACCCATGAAGCTATTCACAGCCACTGCAGCGCAAGTGCGATCCCCGGCCAGGAAGATACCCACATGGCACAGCAGACCTCTCCTGATTCACCCATTGCTCCCCTCAGCAGTGTATTTCAGTCAATCTGCCTGTTCTGTTCCCCACTCTAATTCTGGTGAATCCTCTCACCCCTTACCACATACACCTCTGGCCTTACCCCAGTTCTTTTATGCACAATAAAATAAATCTTTAAAAAAAAAGTTTGAATCAAGTAAAATAAAGTATGTATGCAAACAATATTATCACTATTAAAAATTTCATTGTATCATCACAAAAATATTTTGCCAAGAAAATCTAAATTTTATGTATACCAATAACACATCTTACCTATTTTCTTTTTTTGTTGTCGACCTGCAGACTCTGTTATTGTTTCCTTCTTCTTTTCCACTGAAAACAAAATAGTAACAGTCAAAATTATGCACTATGCTAAAGAAACAAAGGATGCTTATCACAACTGAGCCAATGAAAGACTACAAGAAAATTACAAACTGGGGCCTCCCCGGTGGCTCAGCGCAGCCTCTGCAGTGCGGGTTCGATTCTCGGCCTGCCAGGGAGATTCCCACATGGCATGGCAGACCTCTCCTGTCTCGCCCGCTGCTCTCCTCAGCAGTGCTTTCGGTCGGTCTGTCTGTTCTACTCCCCACTCTGTCTCTGGTGAATCCTCTCACCTTCCCACGCCTCTGGCCTGTACCCCAGCTATTGTATAAATAAAAAATAAATCTTTTTTTTTTTTAAGATTTATTTATTTATACAAGCACTGGGTACAGTCAGAAGCGCGGGAGGGTGAAAGGATTCACCAGAGCCAGAGTGGGGAGCAGAGCAGGCAGAAGGACCGAAGTACACTGCTGAAGGGAGCAGTGGGCGGCAGGAGAGGTCTGCGCGCCATGTGGGACCCTCGCCCGGCGGCCAGGGATTGAACCGGCACTGCAGAGGCTGCGGGCAGCTTCGCAACCCAGCGCTCAACCGCTGAGCCACAGGGGAGGCCCTAAAAAATAAATCTTTAAAAAAAAAAAGAAAATTACAAACTGACTGATTATGCTCTCAACTGATTTTTTTAAAAAACATCTTTGTTTATTTTTTCACAATAAAGGATTTCTCCCCTCAGGTATGGTCACCATAGTTTTACCACCACCAAAGCACCCATAGTCCCATCATAGTCACTGTGTTCTCCTTCCCCCGTTTCCAGCATCTTTTCCCATACCTGTTGACAGTAAAAAGTAGACACAATGTTCTAAGGAAAACAATATTGTAAACATCATTAATCAAATACCCAAAAAGATTATATGAAAATACAATCACAGGGGCCTCCCCCGTGGCGCAGCGGTTGAGCGCTGGATTGCGAAGCTGCTCGCAGCCTCTGCAGCACCAGTTCAATCCCCGGCCACCGGGTAAGGGTCCCACATGGCGCACAGACCTCTTCTGCCTTGCCTGCTGCTCCCCTCAGCAGTGTACTTCAGTCCTTCTGCCTGTTCTGCTCCCTGCTCTGGCTCTGGTGAATCCTCCCACCCTCCCGCACTTCTGACTGTACCCAGTGCTTGTATAAAATAAATAAAAAAATCTTTAAAAAAAAAAAAAAAGTTGAAATACCTTCACTCACCTCTAGAAGAGTAATGTCTTAAGGAAAAAAAAAAAGAAAATACAATCACAAAACTGAGATTTTCTTATCAGCTGAGAGTGATTCCTTAGGTAAAGTGTAAGCATAATTTTCAATTGTGTTCTCAGGTTACTACAGTGGCCTATAGTTTCATTCTCATTTTCACTATAGAAGACAGGAATACATTCATTCAGTTATGGTTACCTAAATAATAGGTACAATTGTAGACAGATAAATGAAAATAATACATGCTTACTGAGTTTTGATAAACACTCTAGCGTACCTAAGACCATAACACCGTAATACCAACATCACCTCACCTGATACCCTAAAAGCAAGAATATTAAAGAATTATATTAAAAATTATAATTATGAGGCCTCCCTGGTGGCCTAGAGGTTAGGTCTCAGTGCTATCACTGCTAAGGTCTAAGTTCCATCCCTGGCCAGGGAGCTAACCCACATGGCACAGCAGCCCTCTCCCTTCTTGCCTACTGCTCCCTCCGTCTTGCCTACTGCTCCCCTGAGCAGTGCATTTAGTAAAATTGCCTGTTCTGCTCCCTGCTCTGTCTCTGGTGAATACTCTCACCTCCCCATATCTCTGGCCTACACCGCAGCTGCTGCACCATGGAGCTCACCTCCCTGGCTGCTGATCAAACCCATGCTGCAATAGTTATGTATTGCTTCATAGTGCAGGCGTTTAACCCCTTTGGCCACCATGGAGGGGATCTCTTGAGAATAATCACAGTACATAACACCTACCTCTCAGGGCTCTTACTCTGTTTTAGTTTTTGTTATACAATTTACATAAAAGTCTTACATTTCTACACAAACTTTCAGTTGGATTCATATTTGTATTCCTATAAAATTTGTTTTGTTTTTTTAGAATCATTTATTTATTTTCTACAAGCACTGGGTACAGTCAGAAGCGCGGGAGGGCAAGAGAATTCACCAGAGCCAGAGCAGGGAACAGAACAGGCAGAAGGACCGAAGTACACTGCTGAGGGGAGCAGCAGGCGCTGCAGGAGAGGTCTGCGCGCCACGTGGGACCCTCGCCCAGGGATCAGACCGGCGCTGCAGAGGCTGCGGGCAGCTTCGCAGCCCAGCACTCAACCGCTGCGCCACCAGGTGAGGCCCTCCTATAAAGTTTTTATATCAGTTGATGCTCCTACTGTGAGCATGCATTCAGGAAGCATGACATGTTGAAGCTATTCCAAAGGATGCTACCATACTCACATTTTTTACTCTGTTTTTCCACTTCTGCCTTCAGTCTCTTGTACTTGTCTGTCCTGTAAACCAGGACCCAGGTGATACCTTAAATATTAAGAGCAACATAATAATAAAGTTTGGAACAGTCACAACCGCTATTAGTGGTTACTGTTACATAAGGAAGGATTTCAACTTTCTGCTATATAACTACCAGTAGTTGCTATATACTTAGCAGTACTTAACTTTTTTCAAATGTTAAGACAACTGACGCTTCGACCCAAACGACCGTGATATAAGGTGTCTTCACAAATACACAATGAAATCTACCATCGATCAAAAACACTTGGCCAGGGGATTCCCCACTACCCCTGCAGCTCCAGTCCCCGAGATTCCCTAGAATGGAAAAGATGACACGCTGCCCCTCCCCATAAGCAAGCCTCGCGATCTCTCTTTTGTTGGCGCGAGGGGCCCCGGGCCTAGGATCCTTCCCCTTGGGGGCTGATCAAACGTAAAAGCAGCTGCTCTCACCCTCAGCAAGAAGAGCCGTGCACACAGAGATAAAAACGATGAGCAATGTGTCCGCGAACATGGTACTCATCTCTCACTCTCGTGTCTGACTCCCACCCGCCACAGGGGAAACGCTCCACAGCCAGGAAAAAAAGGAACGAACACAATTTTCCCAGATTGCACCACCAACTCCAGTCCACCACCACTACCACCACCTCCACCAAACACGGGCTCTGACAGTCTGGAAGAGCACTTCCGCTTCCGGGGCGCAGCGCCAATGGGGCTTGTTCCGGAATGTTGAGTAGCGGCGTCACTCAGCGGAAACCCAGGTCGCGAGCCAGGATTGAAGAGCCGGGTCTCTGGCCAGATCTCGCGAGAGTTGGTACTTGAGCGGCTGACGCAGAGCCTAACCCGGAAGCAATACCCCGCAAGGATGGTGGCCCCGCCTGCTTCTTGGCCACATTGTGGCTGTCGGGGCTCGTCGCCTCTTCAACCTTAGCAGAGACAGATTCTGAGGCCGATCGGATAGATTAGCCTGTTTGCGTGAAGCAGGAAGAATAACTGCTGCAAACATGTGCAGGACGCCTGTGTTTAGGCTCCCGGCCACGGATTTGAAACTGGGTACGAAAAATCAATTCGCCGTGGGCTGTTGGTGTCAAGGAAATCACGTCCTAGTGAAGGAGAGAAACGAGTATATGTTGTGACAAGGGTTTTTATAGGTGTATGACCAGATTCTGCGGTGACCCATCCGAGCGCGTGGTCAGAGAAAACTAGCGAAAGGAATTGAAGCAGAGAATTTAAAGAATAGTCGTGCTTCGGAGAAAGCAAAGAACTTTCTCTGCATAGAAACGGATGCTTAAATGTACCCAGTGTGTAATAGGGTGTGAATGATGTGTTTAAGGAAGGGATCTTACACCCAAATGCCTACAGTGGTGAGGCATAAATTATGCAGGCTGAGCATGAAAAAATGGTGGGAGGCACAATGATGAATTAGGGAAGGATAACTTTATCTGAAAGGAGCAGTTGGGACATTCAACCCATTTTTCCTGAGACAATAAGCATCTGGTTGCTAGTATCTTCCCCATTTTTTCAGGAAAATCAGCAATCCTCATTTTATGTGCAAGTTCACTTTATAAATGCTGATAATTCATTAAAATTTTTAAACGTGTATAGGTTAAAGAAAATGTCTCAGCAACCTGTTTCAACATGTGTAGAGGTTTTCGGCTTTTTTAGACTGATAATGTATGTGAATGTGTATGAAAATCTGGAAACTGGCGGAAATGTCGACCCTTGACTTGTACTTTTTTTTTTTAAAGAGTTATCTATTGATGCATACAAGAACTGGGGTACAGGCCAGATGTGGGGGGGGGGGTGAGAGTGTTATGGAGCAGCCCCGATATAAAACGGGTTCCCTGGCTGTGGGTCCTCACCCACGCGCTTAAAAGGGACTTATTAATACTCCACTACAGGCACACGCAAAAGGTTAATAAAAGGTTTATTTACAAGGGAAAGGGAAATGAGGAAATGTACAACTCAGGGAGAAAATAGGGAAATAAAGTCTTTAATGCGTCCTACCCGATCCACCAACCTCTGAGAGCTGGCTGAGAAGAGCCAAATAGGGAAAACCACCCCCCCAAAGCCCATGTGTGTGGTTTTATACCAAACCTGGCTGTTTAACCCCACCCTCAGGTTCCAGCAACCTTCCCTTTGGTGGTGATGGGATTGGTCTTTCCCAATGTCCTGATGGCTTTGGTCTGGAGTGGGGTTGGAGTCCACAAAGCCTGTATGGAATTAGCTTTAGGACATCCTTTTCCCCCTAACAAGAGGATTCACCAGAGACAGAGCGGGGAACAGAACAGGCAGATTGACTGAAATACACTGCTGAGGGGAGCAGCGGGCACAACAGAAGAGGTCTACTGCGCCATGTGGGTAGCTCCCTGGCGGGTATCGAACTCTGCTGCAGTGGCTCCGGGTGGCTTCATAGGTTGCATCTTAACTCCTTGCGCCACCAAGGACCCCACCCCCTTGACTTGTACTTTCTTTGGCTCTTTTCTTTATACCCTAATGCACTTTATCTAGAACACAAATTGTGGTATTTTTTATTTATATATTTTTACTTATATACCAGCAGAGACCCTGGTATCTCCTTTTAACTTTTATGGGTCAGGAACAGTGGTAGGTACTGTAGGATCAGAGGGTGATGAAGATATTGTAATGTGTAAATTTCAGCATTCCCAGTGAAAATAGGAGGAATAGTATAATTCTTGCAAGGTTTACATTATATAAGGTATAATAGGTTCATAAAATGTTATGGGAGTACAGATTAAGGCAAGATTGTTTTTTCTTGGAGGCATTGAGAAGGCCTTGCATTTTGGGCTAGACTATGTTTTTGAGTCTTACGTTGGGATAAGGCAGATTTTTATTCAATTTTGTGTGTGGGGTGTGTGTGTATGTGTATGGTAAACTTTGAGGTAATAAGAGCATAAAGTCACTCCAGTCCTGGTTTTCAGTTCTGTCTTTGCTACTTAATGAACAACAGTCCTTGAGCATATTGTTAAACATCTCTGTGCCTCAGTTCCTTTTTTGCGAAATGATGATAATAACATCAGCTCATCAAACTGTTAGGAAAATTAAATGAGAAAGCATGTACTATAAAGCATCTAAAGCTGTGCCTGACATACATATTTCATCTAATCCAACAGTCTAGTAATTGTAAGATGCAACATTTTGTACACTATTAAAAGAAAATAAACAACTAATACAGCCATGACACATCAATGAATGCAGGATTATCCCTTTCAGAGGTTTAAAATGTGAGAAAAGGGCCTCCCCTGGTGGCGCAGGAGTTGAACGGTGGGCTGCGAAGCTGCCCACAGCCTCTGCAGCGCCGGTTCAATCCCAGGCCGCCGGGCGAGGGTCCCACATGGCACGCAGACCCCTCCTGCTGCTCTCACTGCTCCCCTCAGCAGTGTATTTCAGTCCATCTGCCTGTTCTGTTCCCCACTCTGGCTCTGGTGAATTCTCTCACCCTCCTGCGCTTCTGACTGTGCCCAGTGCTTGTATAAATAAATAAATCTTTAAAAAAATAAAAAATAAATAAAATGAGAAAAAAGGCCTTACAATCATTTAAAAATAGTAAAAAGCATTTTAATTATTTCTATACGAATGTTTACTACAGAACTATGGACTGCTGGGATGACATTTCCTTTTCTGCAGTAAGGATATCAGAATCCTAAGCCCCTTATTGAAGAACAGTGCTAAAGACAATTTCAAATATCATCTTTTCTACATTCTACAGGTTTCTTTTATCGTATTTCCAAGTGTCCTAAGCTTTCAGTTGTACTGATTTTTAGATTTCAGAGTTTTCCCCATGAAAACCACGCTCCCAGAGTTCTCTGTCTTGATCCAATTTCTGACTACTACAAAGTTTTGTTCTGGGATTTCATTTAGTATTCTCTAGGGTAAGATTCACTGTTTTCTGGACCCACATCTTCCTCCTTAGTTTATACTTTATGTTGTAGTACAACTTAAAATAACTTCCTGTAAAAGGTAAATGGGAGCTCAATCTTTTTTTTTTAAGATTTATTTTTATTTATACAATAGCTGGGGTACAGGCCAGAGGTGTGGGAGGGTGAGAGGATTCACCAGAGACAGAAAGGGGAGCTGAACAGGCAGACGGACCGAAGAACACTGCTGAGGGGAGCAGCGGGCCAGACAGGTGAGGTCTGCGGCACCATGTGGGAATCTCCCTCGCCGGCTGGGCATTGAACCCACGCAGCAGAGGCCACAGACTGCTTCACAGTGCTCTGCTCAACCCGCTGTGCCACCAGGGAGACAATGGGAGCTCAATCTTGAGCTCAATAATGTTCTTACATTTTTTTTTAAAGATTTATTTATTTTTTATTTATTTATACAAGCACTGGGTACAGTCAGAAGCGCGGGAGGGTGAGAAAATTCACCAGAGCCAGAGCAGGGAGCAGAGCAGGCAGAAGGACCGAAGCACACTGCTGAGGGAGCAGCGGGCGGCAGGAGAGGTCTGTGCACCATGTGGGACCCTCCTCCGGTGGCCAGGGAGCAACCGGGGATCGAACCGGCGCTACAGAGGCTGCAGGCAGCTTCGCAACCCGGCACTCAACCGCTGCACCACCAGGGAGGCCCTGTTTTTACATTTTTAGCATAGTAGTAGTAGCAGTAGTAATGCTGTTCTTTAAACAAATCTTTAATACTAGGCAAGGCATTGTTTAAAAATCACTGCTTATAACTGAAATTTGTAGGTTTGATATGGTAAGGACTTTAGGTTTGAATCCTAACCCCACTACATGTGAACACCTACCTTCCAGAATTTCTGTGAGCTTTATATAGGGTAGAGCAAAGTTCTGGAATAAGACTACTTGTCTTTAAATCTTGATTTCAGCCTAAGTACTATTATTGTGGGTTTTTTTTAATCACTGTGTAAGTAAAGTGTTTGGCATGGTACCTGGCACAAGAATGGAACAATCACTGTTTCTTATTGCTTAATGGATTAGCTGTTTTTTTTTTGTTTTTTTTTTTTTTTTTTTTTTTTTAATGATTTTTTTTTTTTTTTAAGATTTATTTATACAAGCACTAGGTATAGTCAGAAGCGCGGGAGGGTGAGAGAATTCACCAGAGCCAGAGCGGGGAGCAGAGCAGGCAGAAGGACCGAAGGACACTGCTGAGGGGAGCAGCGGGCGGCAGGAGAGGTCTGCGTGCCATGTGGGACCCTCCTCCGGCGGCCGGGGTGCAGCCGGGGATTGAACAGGCGCTGCAGAGGCTGCGGGCAGCTTCGCAACCCAGGGCTCAACCGCTGCGCCACCGGGGAGGCCCTGGATTAGCTGTTTAATTGGTTCTTTGTAAGATATTTAGAACACCAACTTGTGAGGGTAAATTGCACTTGTGAAAGTAAACACTGAGTGGAGGTAGCCTGGAGCTGAGAAATAGCTTTGACTTTTAGCAGACTTGCAAGTCCACAGCTTTCTGATCAACTTTGCCCTCCTCTGTAATCTCCTATTTCTCTTTCCTGCTGAAGATCTCACCTGCCTAGAGTCAAGGCCTATGAAGCTGCTGCTTCTTGATATAAACATCAAGTGATATGCTTTAGGATTTTCACACCACCAATAGCAATTTTGGTGGAAGTGGTGATGACAAATTTCTGGTATACTCTACACAGAGGAACTTGATTGAGGGACGAGGGCCAGTCACAAGTTGCAACCCACTGCTCAGCTGCTTCAGGAAAA